TCAGCGGGGGGCCCTGCGAACTGCGGGCCCACGAAGAACTCGTAGAGGCCAACCTTCCCCAACGAGATGCTCTCCGCAACGCAGCCCGTGCTGACCCGCGTGGACGAGGCTGAAATGCGACCACTCCCACCGCGTGGAGCTACATGGCGCGCAGTCGGTAACATCACTGACCTCGTCGCTACGGCCTGACGTGCCCCGAAATCCTCGCTACCTCGTGCTCAGCGCAGCGCTGCAGCGCGGCGTCGTCGGAGGGGGGCGCGGACGATTGCGGAAGCGCAAGTCTGACGAGCTCACCCACTTTGAACGCTCGCTTGCAGCGCACGGCAGGTGGGTCCTGCAGGATCTCCAAGTGCAAAATGTTCGCCTGGTACTTCAGCGCATGGAGCCGCATCGCCATGTTGCATGCCCCCTTGAACGCGTCCATCGCCCAACCCTCGTGGGCTGGCGGCAAGTGCTCCTTCGTGAACGGCAACTGCTCCTGCACCCTGGACGTCAACTTGTAATTCTCGAGCAATATGTTTACTTCAATCCGCCCGCTCGGCTAACTGCTCCGTGCGCTGCAGCGCATCGGCCAACCCATTGCAACTTAAGTACAGGAAATACAATATCGCAGTTACTACCTCCTCCTCCCCCCTCCCTGCTCCCCACGGGCGGCGGGGTGGCTGCAGCCACGCAATGGAGATCTCTTCGCCCACCAGGTCGCCGTGCAACTTCTTCTGAGCGGTGATCCCATTCTCCGAGATGGAGAGCACCTCGAAGACGTCATCCACCTCCTTCTTCTGGACGATGTGCTTCCCCACGTCGAACCCTGCACGCCGCATGCGGAAGACGTTGCTCTTCAACTCAGCGGCCGACGACGCTGCCGCGCGCGGCGCGTCTGCATCGGCGCTCGCTGGGAACTCGGGTGCGCCATCGCCTTGCTTGTCGGTCTGCACCGCCTTGCCGAACTCGATCCCCAAGCTCTTCATCTGCAGCTGGGCTGGCTCCCCGAGCTCATGGAGGAAGACCTCTCTGGAGGGTCGCTGCAGCGACATTGAATGGCGAAAAGCAGGGAGGGGGGGAAACAAGGAGCACACGAAAGGTGGCGTGAGAAGATACCTGTGCTATATCTGCTACGCATCCGAAAGTGCGGTCTCCTGGCGCTCGCTTCTTCACCAGGTACATGGCACAGCGGACATCCAACTTTGTGATGTGCAAGAAGCCCTGCTCCGCTCCGATATCCAACCTCTTCACGAGCGACCTTGCGTCGGCCATGAGGTTGTCGGCCGCAGCCACGTCCGCCTTGCGGGACGCGACGTGGACGATCTCGTTTGCCTTGATCCGCCCATCGCTTCAGCGATTGCGTTTGGGAATAAAGCAATGTAACGGTGCGTGTGTGTGTGGGGAGGGGGGAGGGGTGGGTACGCAGTTCTAACAATGCAGCGCAATGCATAGATGCGCTGCAGCGCATGTCACTACAAGGGGGCGCCGACAAACTTATGGATGGTCCTGCACATGCTATCCACCACGTGCTCGCCTGAATAGTTGGCCTTCACGAGCGCCGCTACGACATACGGGTACGACTCCTGGTGCTTCCCCAATTTAATCGAATTCAACTGGCGCCAGAATTCAGAGCCGCACATCAAAGTTTGCCCCGAGACGTCCACATTCGTGAAGGTCTTGAGGGCTTCATCTATTTCACGGAGAAGTTCTCCGTTTTGTGGCCCGAGCTCAACAAACTTGCACAAGTCAGCGATCCACGCCTTGCAAGGTGGGTTCGCGTGGCCCGCTTGCTCGGCGATGTCGCGCCAATCGGGCTTGCTGGAACCCTCAGCGAGGCTGTGTGCCAAGAGCATCCGCCCACCTGCCTGCAGCAAGCGCCGAGCCGATCAAGTGCTGCAGCACTGTGAGATATAATGCTCATGCTCCTCGTTCTCACCTCCTCCCCAACGCGCTCCCACTCATCACCCTCCTCGTGCATCATCCTGGTCCTTACTACATGCCGCTATATACTATAGTGGGGATAGGCTGCAGCCTGACCGAATGATCTCGGTCTCGTGAACCGCCTCCCTGACGTCGGCGTTCAAAGCCCTCTGCGCGAAGTTCTTGAGGCCCTTCACTTTGGCCACCGCGTGCTTGATGATCAACCATGTCAGGCCTTTTTTGACTGCCGTCGCAAGTTGCGGATGCAACGCGCACAGCTTTTCGGAGCCGATGTTGCCCCGAGAGTCTGCCAGCGCCTTCACTGTGGTCGGCGCCTTGGCCAGCACGCAGCGGAGGAAGACGTTCGTGTGGGGGCCGCCCACTGACGTATACCGCAATGAGTCCAGCGGGGGGCACCGACCCCCGCTGAGCCGCGAAAGGCGGTCGTTCGCCATCGCGGTCTCTTCCAACTGCGCCCCCTGCGGGGCCTCGAAGGCAGCGGCTGCAGCCGTCTTGGCCAAGACGAAGCCCTGGGCGCAAATCTTCGCGCCTAAATTGCGAGCCCGCGCAGGGTTCACAAACGAACCGCTGCGGTTCCGAATGTCGATGCCCATCTGGTTCGGTGGGACCTGCTGGTAATACGCTAGCCCCTCCGCCAGCAGGAACTCCTTCAGTTGATCCCACCCCGATGCCAACCTCCCCGAGGAATTGCTTTCCTCGATGTACTGCAAGATCTGCTCCTCCTGACGCGCCTGCAGCGCCATGCCAGCGCTATATATAGCGCCGAATGCAACGTGCGAGCCCGCGGGCGCGACGGCGGATGCGGCGCGCGGCCGCAGCTTGAGACAAGCTGTCGCGCGGCGTGCGCGTGAACATCGACTTGCATGGACATGCAACTTGCGAGCAAAAATGTTGATCTGGGCTGCAGCCCGAGGCCCATGAAGCACGAGCGCGCACGCGCTGCAGCGCGATGCGACATCACGACGACAACCATTTTTTGCGCTGCAGCGCAAAGTAACATACGTGCTATCAAATTTGGAGCGCTGCAGCGCTCAATGCGACCATTGAAAAACAACGAATACAACAAAACATAATTGACATGTGCATTCAAATTCCTTGCAAACGGAGCTGGGCGAAAATGAAGATCCGAACAACGTGCAACTAGAAAACATGCATTTAACTCAACATTCAGCGCTGCAGCGCTTCATCTTCAGCGCACGCAGCGCTTCATGTTCATATAAATCCGAAGGCAGCGCTGCAGCGCTTCTCATATTTAAAGCAAAAATCCAGGACACCGACTCCAAATCAAAATGCAAAATTTGTAGCGCTGCAGCGCTCAACGAACAAACTCAGCTCTTTCAAGACGTGGATTTACCTTTTTTCCCTGTGCATGGCCCTTGGATAACAAGTGCAATGTAACCGCTAAGTCGCTTATAACCTACTTAGCAAACTAGCTATAAGCGGTTATAAGTGGTTAGCTAAGTGCGCTAAGCACTTAGCTAACTGGTTATAAGTGGATAGCTAAGTACTTACTAAGTCATTACTAAGTGGGCCACTTAGCAATGACAGAGTAAGTACTTAGCTAAGTCCGCTAACTACTTACTAAGTACTTAACTTAGCGTAGTAAGTATGTTAAGTACTTAGCAACCGCCGCGGCCATCCAAGTATGCCCCTGCCCCCCACCCTCCCCCTCAGAAGTCGTGGGAGGTATGGGTCGGTCGGGGATGGACAGACCCCCCTTTAGCAAAACGTGGTTTAGTGAAAACGACCTGAGGCCCAAACCTGGCGGGCGCGAGCCTGGAAGATAACGGCCACGGCGCCCTCTCGAGAACCGACAACGGACAATTCAAAGATCGACGTGTCACTGTTGGAGGTTCTGTCCACCCCCGAGTCGGGCCGTCGAGATCCAAGACTGGCTCGTCCACAGGCGGCGCTCTGTCGCGCGGAGGTGCACCTTCGAACGCCATCGCCATCGCCGCCGGCCCGCCGCCGCCGCTGCCTTGGGCGGCGTGGCCGCCGCCTCGGGCGGCGCCCTCGCGGCCGCTCCGGGGGGGGCGCGGGGGGCCCACGCGTGCCCCCAGGGCTCGGAGGCGAGGCCCGGGGGCAACAACAAGCGGGGGGGGAGATGGGCTCCTGCCTCACCCGTGGGGGGGAGCAGCGGGTAGGGGGCCACATGCGAACCCTACCCTTGCCCCCCACGATTTCTGAGGGGGAGGTTGGGGTTCACTTCGCTCGGGAGCTCCCGAACAAAGTGAACCCCACCCTCCCCCTCAGAAATCGTGGGGGGTAGGGGTAGGGTTCGCATGTGGCCCCCTGGCGGGGGGGCAAACAAGATATACACTTGCGCGTCGGTCGGAGGAAGTCGGCAAAAGCATGACGTGGGAGACGGCGGCTGGGGTGGGTCGCGTCCGGGCCCTCCCAGGGCACGACAGAACACAGCCCGAAGCATCGATTCTGGAAGCAGGAAGGCGCTAGACGTGAATTCCTTGAGATCTGACAGCCCAGCATTCCCTACTTCCAGCGACCGGCGTGTGAACTTTCAAAGGTCCGCGTGGATTTCTCGGATCGCCGGCGCCGCTGGCGCCGACGCCGCACGAGCACGTCGTGCGGCTCGCAGCCGGCGCCGTGTGCGTTCTTCGCTGCCTGCACGGGTCGTCTCAACGCCCACCCCACTCAACATCGCTCGGACGTCCACTCCCTGTGCGCTCTTCGGCCTCGTGCGTTTGTTTATGTGTTATTTTCTGTTTGTTTTTTGTTGTTCTTTTTAGCAGGGCGAACAGACCTGCTCTTGCCGAAAAAAACGCACACGTCCGTGCGCTGCCAGGCCTCCCCCCCCTCCCCTGAGTCTCTGCCTCCACCTCCTCCTCCCCATCCTCCTCACCCTCCTCCTCCTCGTGCGGCTCCTCCCCCTGCTCGTCCTGCTTCTCCTCCTTCTACCTCGTCGTGGTCGGCGTCCTCATCTTCAGGGTCCGCGGCACCGGCCGTAAGGCCTTCGCAACAAAAACGCACACCTCCGTGCGCTGCCAGGGCCCCCCCCCCCCCCCCGAGCACGCGGGAGGAGGCCGGGGGGGGGGGCGGGCGGCGGGGCGCGCCGCGGCCTGCGCCCGCCGCTCCTCGGCCTCGCTCAGGGCGGCGCCCAGCCTGGGCGTGCGCGCCCGAAGGCCGACGACGGGGCGGCGGCGGCGATGCGGTGCCGGGCCGGCGTCGGGGGCGCGCAGACATGGACTGCGAGGAGGAGGAGGGGGAGGAGGAGGAGGAGGAGGAGGGGGAGGAGGAGGAGGAGGAGGAGGAGGAGGAGGAGGAGGGGAGGGAGAAGGAGGATGAAAAGAAGGAGGAGGAAAAGAAGGAGACCCACACCAGCTGAAGGTGCCACCACATTAAACATGCATCAAAGAAACAAATCAAAAACCGTCATCCGAGAGTTCGGCCTCCTCGCGCTGTCTCCTGTCAAGGACCTGCAGCCCAAGCCGTTCGGCCTGAGCGCGGGAGGAGAACCCGAATAGCGCAAGGCCTCGGATGAGGTCGACCCCGATCCGCTCGACGGCGGGGCCGGGTCCAAGCTCGGGCACCCCTCCTAGGCCTAACTTCGAGGCCAGGAAGGTGCGAGAGTCGTCGGATAGCGAGCACGCTGCTCCGACTCGGCACTCCTTGCGGGACGGATGTTTGCCTTGCAAAATCCAAGCCAATTGCCTCTCGCGGCCTGGGGAACGGGACCCCAGGCAGTCCGACACGACAGCGCTCCGACCCCACGAACTCCCAGGGTGGCCGATGGACCCGCAAGTGGTGCAAAAAACTACGGGTCCCAAATGACTACCTACCAGACCACCCCAACCCAACCCGAAGACCCGAATTTCGGGTTGGGGGGGGTAAGGGTTCCAGACAGAGCAATCGTCAAGCTTGTCGTGCACCTGGGCCCACCAGTGGGCCCGCACATTATCGGGGCCTGCAGCGGACCTGGGGTTCCGAGCACAATCCACGGTGCCCGCGCAATCAATATTGAGGCGGACTCTGGGGAAGAGGGTGGCATTGAGACAGAGCTGGAGGACAGCATAATCTTCGCCGTCCCGGGCGGCTTGGAAGGGTGCCTCAGCTAAGGGCACCACCCTCCAAATACACGACAAGACGACCCCCTCCCCGTCCGTGACGACCACCGCCCATCCCGCCACTCCCAGGGACCGAAGGCGGCCCTCAAAAGCCGATCCGTCCGTATGTACGTGCATTCCAGTCCCCAACATAAGCCCGTCGGCAGGCCAGTTGAGACGATGCATGTAGCAGGAGGACGGGTCGGGCGCTTTGCGCTTGAACCAGGCCGAGGGGTCGGGGAAAACCGCCCTCGAGAACAAATCCTGGGCGAGGAAAAGAAGGAGGAGGAGGAGGAGGAGGAGGAGGAGGAGGAGGCGGAGGTTGGAGGGAGGAGGGAGGGAGGAGGGAGGATGGAGGATGGAGGAGGATGGAGGATGGAGGAGGGGGAGGGGGAGGAGGGGGAGGAGGAGGAGGAGGAGGAGGAGGAGGAGGAGGAGGGGAGGAGGAGGAGGAGGAGGAGGAGGAGGAGGAGGAGGAGGAGGAGGAGGAGGAGGAGGAGGAGGAGTGGGAGGAGGGGGAGGGAGAGGAATACGAGGAGGAGGATCGGTCGCTTCGAGCGGACGAGGCCGGCGCCTCCCGGCACAGAGATGGGGGGCGGGGGGGCCCCTGCGCCGACAGACCAGGGCACGCGGCACGGGGGCGCCCTGCCACCTCCAGCCGCAACGCTGGGGGGAGGCGCGGGGGGCAGAGTGAAGGGGCCCTGGGACACACAAATAAATACACACAAATTAAAAGATTCCTCATATTTTCCAATATTTTCTGGGTTTCTGTCTTCCCCCCCACTGCCCATATTTTCCCATACTTACTGGGGAATCGACGATTAATTGTGTATGTGTGTTTCTTCCCCTCCTGACAGAGGTCGGGGGCGCGCAAGCATGGGTTGGCGATCCGCGGACTTGGCGCGCGGTCGCCAAGTCTGTGGATCGGGGGAGGTGCCCTCCCCAAAATGCGGCCGGCGCCGCCTCGCTCGGCGGCGGCAAGCCGCGATCTCCCATGGGAGCGGGGCCCGTCGCTAATCCACGCCCCCTTGATCCATGCTTGCGATTGCCTGACGGAGGCCGAGATAGTCGACCTAAAGTAGACGGGCGATGATAGAAGAAGCAAAACGGCATAAACATAAACTTTTGGCGCTCCGCTCGGATCTTTTGGATCCGCGATGGGCCCCCCTCCCTAGCGCGCGGAGCGCGCCCCCAAGGCTCCCAGGAGTGCCCCAAGAGGCGTCCAGGAGGCCCCAAGAGGTCCCCAAGAGGCTCCCAGGAAACCCCAAAGAGGCTCCAAGAGGCTCCCCCGCAGCACCCAAGACGCTCCAAGAGGCCCCCGAGACCGCCAAAAGGCCACCAAAGCGCTTCAGGAGGACTCCGTGAAGCTCTCAAGAGACATCTGAAGAGACTCCGAGAGGTATCCAAGAGGCATCTGACATTTCTGCTCGCCTTGTTGCTGCTGCTCCTCCTCCTCCTCCTCTTCCTCCTCCTCTTCCACATCCGCCTGTTCCCCTTGGACAGGACACAAGGCTACCCTTGATTTGGCAGGGTCGACCCACTAATCCAGGCCGACTGTAGTCATCACCCTCATCTTGGCCGCCCCCGCAGGGGGTGCTCAGGCGCCTCGCCACCTCGGTCCGGAGCTGCGCCAGCTGCTCCACCAGGCCGGCGGCCTCCTCGGACTTTGCCTCCGCGGGCGCACGCGCGGGCAGAGGCCGGCGATCGCCCACGAAGTCCACGGCGTGTCGTCGACGTGGAGCTGGCTTCTGAGAGGGCGCCTGCTGCCTTGAGATGGCCCCCTCCTCCGCGTCCTCCTCCTTCTCCACCCAGTCCCCCCCAATCCCCTCCTCCCCCTCCTGCACCCCGCCTCCTCCTCCTCCCCCTCCCCCTCCTCCTCCTCCTCCTCCTCCTCCTCCTCCTCCTCCTCCTTCTCCGCATCCTCCGTGATCGTATTCTCCTGCTGATCCCCTGCTTCCTTTCTTTTTTCCGCCTGGTTGGCCCCTCTCTCCTCCCACTCCATGACCTTTTCCTGCTCCCCCTCCTCCTCCTCCTCCTCCTCCTCCTCCTCCTCCTCCTCCTCCTACTTCTCATCGTGCTCCTCCCCCCCCTGACCCCATCAAAAAAGCCCGCCCAGAACAGCACGAAGTGGGCCGCAAGAAGGCCCACTAGGGACCCCCAGAAAACCCAAGAGGAGAGCCCCATGACGGGCCAAGAAGGCCACCAGAGGGTCCTCGCACAGCCCCCCAGACACTGCCCAGACGGCCCGAAGGGAGCCCAAGAAGGCCCCAGGGGGGCCCAGAGAGCACCCAAGGAGGTCCCCAGAATGCGAAGGACCCGTGCACGTCCAGATTGAAACACCAACTTTTCGGAGATCTGGGCTTCCAGGGCACCAGCTCGGGCCTCCAGCCATCACTCGTGGCGACTCCGACACGCCTGGAGCGCTCTCGCAAGAGAGGCGCAACTGCTGGAGCACATCCCGAAGTGAGACAACCTCCAGGAGCCAATGTGACCTTCCGAAAAACTTCCGCGCGGGCCCAGACGAGACCCCGACGCTACGATACGTACGTGTCGCACCGTGCCTCCCAGAGGTCTCGACCCGTTCCACGGGACCCGACCCTTTTGCCCACGGATACTTTTTCGCTCTAGATCCCTTTCTGATGGCTCCAGGTCTCGATAGCGGACCAGGGAGAACTGTGACAAATCCTCTCGTCGTGACACCACCGGAACGCGCTCGGCAAGGCGCAGCTGCTGAAAAGCATCTCGGAGGCGAGAAAACTATTAGGAACCAAGGGCACACTCCCGAAAGCCTGCAAACACATCATCTCGTCGGAGATCAGTTTGGACGCCCAGAGTGGGTACGAAACAAACGGTTACGATGCCCAACAATAGATGTTGTTAAAAACGGACAGCAGTCGCTGTTGGGCAGGCGGCCCCCTGTCTTAAATGGACAACGTCCGGAGCGATGCCGACGGCGAAACCTGTTCAAATTCAACAAGACATGCTGTCTGTCCTTTGTAACCGGGGTAGGTCCTTAGAACCTCCCTCAGTAAGGGAAACTGATAATCCATTCGACGCCCTTTTTGACGGACTGGGGTCCCACCAATAGCGCAACATAATAGTTTCTCCGCGGCACCCGCCGCGCAACGACGACGACGACAACGATGACAACGACGACGACGACGACTACGAGGGCCTCCCCGTCCTTCATCTCCTCGTTTTTCCTTACCCATGATTGCCGTACCCATTTCTAAAGGCCTCCTAGATGGGATCGGAGTAGATGGGGTTCGGAAGATCCAGCGCATCGCCGATACATCGGTGATGCATCGGCGATGCGCTGGCGATGCACCGGCGATGCACCGGCGATGCATCGTCGACGTCGGCGATGCATCCGCGACGTCGTTGTGCAGCAAATCGGGCTCCACATAGAGCCGCATCGCCGATGCATCGGCGATGCGTCGCGATCTTCCGAACCCATCAGGGAAGCCTGGACATTTCGATCGCACCTCGTGTTGCATCTTCTGGGGACCTTGTCTGTCCCGTCGCGCCGCGATCCGCGTCGAATCCGTGCCGAATCCTTGTCGAATCCGTATCGAGTCCGTGTGGCATCTGCCGAAGCCGTGCCGAATCCACGTCGAATCCGCGCCAGAGTGCAGAAAAGGACAGCCACTTTTACAGGACAGGGAAGGCCCCCCCGGGCCCGTGCCCCGCGGGTGCAGCGGCAGCGGCAGCGGCAGCGGCCCCCCGCGGCCGCCGGCAGCCGAAAGGCCTGCAGCTGGGCGTCGGCCCGCTGCTCCGCCTCCCGCGCCGCGGCGGCCTCGTCCGCGGCGGCCCTGGGGGCGGGGCGTGTAACAGAGGATGCGTTGACTCCTATCCTTAGGTCGGGCATGTCCTCCTACAGGCGGATTTTGGAGGAAACATGAAAAAAAACAAAACACATACTCAAGCAGTTGTAAAAGACCACGAACAACCGTCCCCAGACTATTTCCCAACCGTCCTGTGGTGTTGGGTCCTCGATTTGAAGAGACAGCGCCCCGCGTTCCTCACCTCCCGCTGCCCCCTCAGCCTCCTCCCTCCTCCCATCCATGCCTCTGCCCTCCGCATGTCTGTGTTTCGGCGCCCCCAGTGCAACGCTTCGCGGCCCCGTAGGGAGCTCCACCTAAGGCCTGGCACAGCCGCCCCATTTCGGCACGCCTCAAACAGGTTTCGTGGCCCCATTGGGAGCTCCACCGAAGGCCCCAGTGGCTGCGTTCGCATGCGGTTCCCCCCCCGATATCAGCACACCCCTCACAGGTTTCGTGCCCCCATGGGGAGCTCCGCCGAAGGCCCCAGTGGCTGCGTCCGCATGCGGGTCCACCGCCATTTCGGCACACCCCTCACACGTTTCGTGGCCACACAGGGACCTCCACCGAAGGCCCTTTTGGCTCTGTTCGCATGCGGTTCCACCCTTCACACGGTTCGTGGCCCCATAGGGAGCTCCACCGAAGGCTCCAGTGGCTGCTCTCGCATGCGGTTGTGCCCACATGTCGGGACACCCCTCATATGTCTCGCGGCCCCATAGGGAGCTCCACTGAAGGCCCCAATGGCTGCGTTCGCATGCGGTTCTACCCCCATGTCGGCGCACCCCTCACATGTTTCGTGGCCCCGTAGGGAGCTCCACCGAATGCCGCAATGACTGCGTTCGCATGCGGTTGCACCGCCTTTCCGGCACACCCCTCACATCTTTCGCGGCCCCATAGGAAACTCCATCGAATGCCCTAATGGCTGCGTTCGCATGCGGTTCCGACCACATTTCGGCACGTTTCGTGGCCCCATGGGGAGCTCCACCGAAAGCCCCAATGGCTGCGTGCGCATGAGGTTCCACCGCCATTTCGGCACACCCCTCGAACGTTTCGTTGCATTGACCCCCCTCTCTTGAGCCCCGAAGAGGTTGATAATTAAACCCACAGGATTCTACCGCAGGCAGGGCAACCACGGAGCAAACGCTCCCGCTTCTGCATCAACGCATACGACGCCTCCCAAATTGGCTCCGAGTACAATCGGACCCAGGCCAGGAGAACAACCCTCAAGCACACGAGACCATCAACAGGCCAAAACGCACAGAACATCTAAGGGTAACCCTTCCCAACCAACAAGCACGAATAACCTCGGGGTATCCTCCCCACATCGACGTCGATCTTATACCTGGGTCCGACTGTAGACGCCTCCCACATGGGCTCCGAGTAGATATGGTCGGAGGATCGCGCCGCATCGTCCATGAATCGCCGATGCATCGATAATGCGTTGGCGACGTCGGCGATGCATCGGCGCCGTTGGAGGTCGAAGTTGGGATTTTTAGGCCGGCGGGCGACCAAAGCCCAGGGTACCCTGAGAGGCTGGCCAATGGAAACGGCAACGGGCAGGCCGCCAGGAGACAAGGACACAGGGGTAGCCTAGTAAAGGCGCGCGTCCTTACTGTGCGCGTTGACTGTTCTCGAACCCCATCTGGGAGGCCTGGAACTGGACCCTTCGAGCGGACGGAGGAATACGAGGAGGAGGAGGAGGAGGAGGAGGAGGAGGAGAAGGATCGGACGCTTCGAGCGGACAAGGCTGGCGCCTTCCGGCGGGTGGCTGAAGGAGGGGGGGGGGAGGAGACGGGCAGGAATGATGAGGTGGCCTCCTTCAACACTCCCCCCGACGGGCCGCTCCAGCTCCCCCCTCCTCCCAACAGGCGCCGAACCCACCCCCTGACGCGATACCCCCCAACGCCCAGCGCCGCACAGGCACACTCTGCGCCCCCGCGCGATCCACCCCGCCATGCCTGTTGAACAGCTTGGAATGGTCACCCTGACCTGGTCAGGCTCCCGACCGAGGACAATCTTTCGGGGGGACCGGCTTAGGGGAGGGATCATCGAGCTGGAATAGGCGATACATCGCCGATGGATCGGCGATATATAGCCGATCCGTATCAGAAGGATGCACGATGGGATGCAATTGCCTTGGACGGCCATTTCAAAGCTTTTCGAGCGGGGCGCGGCCAGCGAAAGTGGCCAGGGATGGACCGAGGAGGCAAGGATGCAAGGGTAATTACCCTTGGGAAAGTTGCCCATCCTTACCATGAGGGCTGACTGTAGAGCCCCGGCAACGAATCCGCACCTTCCTAGGCGGTGTGGGCTGTCGGGGCGCTACCAGCGATAACAACGGGCGACTTGAGCAGGGACCGACCGTCCCGGCATTCCTGCGTAGGCCTACCACGAAATGTGTTTTAGAATCCAAAAATGTTTCAACACACAACAAGAACAATGCTCTTAGAACATAAGCCCCAGGTGTGAAAACAAGACAGGCAAAAAAGAGCATGTCGTGCAGACCACAAAGGTTCCTAAGAACTAACCAGCCTCGAACGTATCCCTATCCCCAAGATGGGCGAGCAAAACGCGCGGACAATCTTAGGGCTAGGCCCTCGGAAACGGAGGGAATCCTTCAGAACGGCATCGAGGCGAGGTGATGCCAAACATAGGGATAAGGATATGCTCCAGGCTGGTAAAAGAACATTCTGTCGTGGGCCTCATAGGAGAGCCAGGACGCTTCGCCACTGCTTGACGAAAGGAACGGGTCGTGTGCGAGCTGGCAGGCCGACCTCACGCGGTGACCTGCGCGGGCCGCCCAGCGCGGCGCACGGCGAGGAGGAGAGGGCGCGCTCGCGCGCGAGGGTCGGCGCGGTCGACCCCGCTCTCGTCCGTCGCTCAGTGGCGGCGCGCAAAAGGGGGTAGGGGGAGGGGGGAAGGCTTCTTAGAAGCGCCCTGCCTCTTAGAAGGCCTCGGCCTTACGTCTACAGAGAAGGCCCGCGCCTTCTAAGAAGCAGGGGTGCTTCTAAGAAGCCTTCCGCCCTCCCCCTTACCCCCCTCTGCGCGCCGCCAAGCTGAGGCGGCCGCCAGGGCCGGCAGGCTGTCGTTCTCAGGCACATCGACACTCATAGCGCTGCCCCTGAGCGCAGATGGGGGTTCAGGGTGTACCGTTCAGGGTCTGTACGCCGGTCGGAAGACGCAGGCGGAACTGTGGAAGACCTCTCGGTCATTGAAGCAGGAAGGCGCCCAACATAGGCTGGGGTCCGAAAATCAAACTTTACCGACTTCCAACGACCGACGGGAATTATGTTGCTCCTACCGTACTGAAGGACCACATCCCAGGCATAATTTCGAGCACACCGAGATGTATCAAAGCAGTGCCTGCCCGACGGGCTGGCAACACGCCGAACGAAAATCGCATCCCAGGGCCCGACCCGTGAATGCCCTCCAGTTTCAACACGTTCCTGGTGCTCGAAATTCTTTGTGGTGCCCAAGGCCCAAGCAGGCTGGAACATCACAAGACGAGTAAAGATCTTTGTGGGGCCCGCAGACGGCAGGGCCGTTTTTGTCATCGCTTCCGAAAAAAAACATTTCTCGAACATAGAAGCAACAACACACGGCGACCAACAACGGCAAAAAAACACGGCTCCAGGAACGGAACTGGAGCCGGAACCGGTAAAAAAACAGGCGACGGACCTGGTGACAAAGGCGGCGTCGGAACCGGCAACAGAAACGGCAAAACGGAACCAGGAACAAACTCCGCCCCGTCGCTTCCAGGGCCCACTTAAGGTCGGGGCCCACCAAAAGGGGGGGTGACCCTGAGGGCGGGGGGTGACCCTGAGGGCGGGGGGTGACCCTGAGGGCGGGGCCCACCAAAGGGGGGGGGGTGACCCTGAGGGCGGGGCCCACCAAAGGGGGGGGTGACCCTGGGGGGGGGGTCCGGTCCGCTGGCCCCTGGCGCATCGAGTCCCCGAAAAACGAGGCCCCCGCGCGCCCCGATCGTCGACGCCTCTCGGGTTCCGGCGGCGGCAGGAGACCTCGCTCTGCACCGCTTTTCCGCGGTGCGATGCGCCAACGGACCGACCTCCCCCCCCCTCCTGTGCCCCCCCCCCGTTGCGAGGTGCCGATAAGGCGGATCCCCCCCAGGCGGGTTTTGGATGAAACATGGGATATTCCAAACCACGCCCACAAATAGAATCAAACAGTAATCAAGACATAGTCCCCAGAATATGTTATGCCTACTTTTGCGCATTCCTCCTGTAGAGGGACACGCCCGACGCAAGCCAACGCAGGGATGCCTCCCCGCCTCCCCCTGCGGCGGGCGCTCCTGACGCGCTCCTGGGCCTCGGCCCTCGCCGCCTGCGCGGCCTGCCGCGGTGCGGCGCGGGGGGGGGGGGGGGAAAGGGGCGAGGACGACGGCGAGGAGGAGGACGCTTGGACGTGGCTTGATGGGGCGGGTCATCAATTGGGGGGTCAGAAACGGCGCCCTTTCGTGCCCCTTTCGGGCCGCTCCGGGTCCCCAGGGGGCTCGTTTAGGTATCGTTTGGATACCTTTTCGGACCATCCTCGCCACCCCCCCATGTATGACCCCCCCATTGTGCCACGCCCAAGACTCGCCATCGCTCGGACGTCCATGTGATCGCTTCGACAGTGGGCGGAAAAGGGGGAGGGAAGGTCTGCCTAAGTATGGACCTCTGCTTAATGTGAGTGTTTGCACCAGTGCGCCCCATGGGGGAGACCCCACCCACTCGAAACAGGGGCCAAAAAAGAGCCAATATCTACTCCGAACTACTCCATGTGGGGGGGGGGGGGGTGCAAAAGCCCGCGCCGATCGGCAAAACAATGAAACAACTATCACAATTCCCCGTGCATGTGTCGGTTTCGTGCGTGTTCTGTCGTTTTTCTCGCAAGACGGTTCGGGACGCTCTCCCCTCGATGCTCCCCCACTGCCCTCCACGATGGAAATATGCGCGCGTCCGAGCGATGCCCGGAGGACGGCCGACTCGCCCCACCCTGGTCAATGGCCTCGCCTTCGCGCGGTCCCCCCCCTTTCAGGGGCAATGGCCTCTGGAGGGCGGGGGGGGGTGGGGACAGCAGCGTCCAGCTCGCGACCCTGGCGCCCGCAGCCCGAGCCAGGGCGGCGGATGACGACGACGCCATGCGCAAGCAGAAGGGGGCCCGCCGACAGGCCCGTGAGCGCTAGGCGGCTTGCATCCGAACCCTGCCCCCGCCAACCATCGATTCTGGGGAAGCCCAGAAAGGCACGCCACTCCCCGGACCTCTCCCAGGGCGCGTTCTGACCAGAAGTTCGAAGCAAATCCACCGCTGGCGACGAGGGCTGCCCAGAAAACCCCCCACAACGGAAAGCGAGAGAGGGGCAGCTGTTCCTCCTCCGAGATTCTCCTGAATCGATGGGAGGCGAGGGGTCAGGGTTCGGATTTCGACGCCGAAGCGTGCCTCAACCCGTTCCTTCTGACGTGGCCGCTGCGCCCACGTGCCGCCGAGCAGGGCTGCCCTCTGCCCGGCGACGGAAGAGATGTCGAACCCAGGCCCCCGACGCCACGATTTTGTCACAGCTTGACCCCCGGAGATCTCGAAGCTTCAGGATGCGTCAGCATCGAATCCGCCGACCCCTTGTGGGTATCGAGGCGTGTGAGATTCTCCCCCCCCCATCCCCCCCAGGGACCCCAAACCGGCAATTCGACCCCACCCCTGGCCCTTGTCGGACCCTGGGCCGAACGCGTCACAGGGCTCCAAAGCTCGTCAAAAGGAACCAACACTCGCCAAAAAGGTACCAGAACGCTCCCCGGACGGCACCCGAGACCACGATTCGCCGACATATAGCGCCCCCGGACGCCCACGGTGGCCTCCAGGCGGTCTCCGAAGCTGCCAAGACGCCCCAAAAAGGCCCCTAAGATGCGCCCCGGGAGGGTCGCAAGAAACGAAAATCGGCCCATTTCCTTCGAAAGCCGCGCATTTCTCCGCATGCTCGCCAACTCGGCAATCACAACGCCCGCAACAAGCAAAGAAACCTTCAACGTCGCTCCCAGACGGCCACAGGGGCCCCAAAGCAGGATCGCTGAGGGTAGCGCGATGGATTCAAATCCCAACCAGACGCGTGAGATCCCAACCGGACGGTTCAGATCCCAACCGTCTAAAACACCAGGCACGGTCAGATCCCAACCGAGGAGGAAGCGAATAAACGAAACATATTGAAATGTTACCATACTTGTTCATTGCTATCTGAAATTGCGATGGACACCTTACAGGAGCAGATTTACGCCTGAGTTATTGCGGTTGGGATCTGGCGCGTCTGTTGCTGGATCGCAGTAGGGGTAAAAAGTAGTAGTGGTAGTTGTAGTAGTAGTATTAGTAGTAGTAGTAGTAGTAGTAGTAGTAGTAGTAGTAGTAGTCGTAGTAGTCGTAGTAGTAGTAGTAGTAGTAGTAGTCGTAGTAGTAGTAGTAGTTATATAGTAGTAGTAGTAGTAGTAGTAGTAGTAGTCGTAGGCGTCGTAGTAGTAGTAGTAGTAGTAGTAGTAGTAGTAGTAGTGCTACTACTAGGAGTAGTAGCAGTAGTAGTAGTAATCGTAGTAGTAGTACTAGTACTAGTAGTAGTAGTAGTAGTAGCAGTAGTAGTCGTAGTAGTAGTAGTAGTAGTAGAAGTAGTAGTAGTAGTTGGTAGTAGTAGTAGTAGTCGTAGTAGTTGTAGTAGTAGTAGTAGTGATAGTAGTGAAACTAGTAGTAGTGGTAGTAGTAGTACTAGTAGCAGTAGTAGTATTAGTACTCCTAGAAGTATTGAAAATAGCAGTAGTAGTACTAGTAGGTAGCGGTCGTAGTAGTAGTAGTTGTCGTAGTAGTAGTAGTAATAGTCGTAGTAGTAGTTGTAGTAGTGGTAGTCGTAATAGTAGTAGTAAAAGTAGTAGTAGTAGTAGTAGTAGTAGTAATAGTGGTAGTAGTAGGAGTATGAGTTGGAGTAGTGGTAGTAGTCGTAGTAGTAGCCGTAGTAGTAGTAGCAGTAGCCGTCGTAGTCGTAGTCGTAGGAGTAGTAGTAGTAGTACTAGTAATAGTAGTAGTACTAGTAATAGTAATAGTAGTAGTAGTAGTAGTAGTAGTAGTAGTAGTGGTAGTAGTAGTCGTAGTAGTCGTAGCAGTACTTAGTAATAGTAATCGTGCTAAGAAAAGTAGCAGGGATAATGGTAGTAGCAGACATAGTAGTAGTAGTAGTAGTAGTAGTCGTAGTCGTCGTAGTAGTAGTCGTAGTACCCGTAGTAGTAGTAGTACTAGTAGTAGTAGTAGTAGTAGTAGTAGTAGTAGTAGTAGTAGTAGTAGTAGTAGTGGTACTGGTAGTGCTAGTAGTAGTAGTAGTCGTAGTAGTAGTAGTAGTAGTAGTAGTCGTAGTAGTAGTAGTAGTAGTAGTAGTAATAGTAGTAGTAGTAGTAGTAGTAGTAGTAGTAGTCGTCGTCGTATTATTGGTAAGAGTAGCAGTAATAGTCGTCGTCGTCGTAGTAGTAGTAGTAGTAGTAGTCGTAGTAGAAGTAGTAGTCGTAAAAGTAGTAGTAGTAGTAGTACTTCTGGAGGGTGTCGTGGTATTGGTAGTGGTAGTAGCAGTACAAGTCGTAGTATTAGTAGTAGTACTTGTGGAGGGTATAGTAGTACAAGTAGTACTGGTTGTAATAGTAGTAGTAATAGTGATACGAAGAATAGTAGATGTACTGCAACTAGAAGTCAGGACTATTCGTGGTGGTAGCAGCAGTAGAAGTAGTAGTAGTAGTACTAGTAGTAGTAGTAGTCGTCGTAGTAGTGGTGGTAGTAGTAGCAGTAGTACAATTACAAGTAATCGCAGTAGTCGTAGTAGTAGTAGTAGTAGTAGTAGGAGTGGTAGTAGTAGTAGTAGTAGTAGTAGTAGTAGTAGTAGTAGTAGTAGAGGTAGCGTAGCATTGGTAGTAATAGTAGCAAGAGTAGTTGGAGTAGAGGTGGTAGTAGAAGTAATAGTACAAGTAGTAGTAGTAGTAGTACTAGTAGTAGTAGTAGTAGTAGTAGTACTACTAGTAGTGGTAGTAGTAGTCGTAGTAGTAGTGGTGGTAGTAGTAGTAGTCGTAGTAGGAGTAGGAGTAGTAGTAGTAGTAGTAGTAGTAGAAAGTAGTCGTAGTAGTAATAGAAGTAGTAGTAGTAGTAGTAGCAGTAGTACTAATAGTCGTCAAAGTCGTGGTAGCAGTAGTGGTAGTCGTATTAGTAGTAGTATTAGTAGTTGTAGTAGTAGTAGTAGTAGTAGTAGCAGTCGTAGTGGTAGTGGTAGTAATGGTGGGACTAGGAGTAGGAGTAGGAGTTGCGGTCGTAGTAGTAGTAGTAGTAGTACTACTACTACTACCACTACTAGTAGTTGTCGTAGCCGTAGTCGTAGTAGTAGTCGTAGTAGTAGTAGTAGTAGTAGTAATATTAGTAGTAGTAGTCGTAGTAGTAGTAGTAGTAGTCGTCGTAGTAGTAGTAGTAGTAGTAGTAGCAGTAGTAGTAGTAGTAATAGTAGTAGAGATACTAATATTAGTAGGAGTAGTAGCAGTAGCAGGTGTAGTAGTAGTAGTAGTAGTCGTAGTAGTAGTAATAGTAGTAGTAGTAGTAGTAGTAGTAGTCGTAGTAGTAATAGTAGTAGTAGTAGTAATAGTAGTAATAGTAGTCGTAGTCGTAGTGGTCGTAGCAGCATTTAGTAATACTCTTAACGCTAGGGATATTCGCAGGCATAGTAGCAGTACTAGACATGGTAGTAGTAATGATTGTGGTAGTAGTAGTAGTAGTAGTAGTAGTAGCAGTAGTCGTAGTAGTACAAGTAGTAGTAGTAGTAGTAGTAGTAGTAGTGGTAGTAGTAGTAGTCGTAGTAGTAGTAGTAGTAGTAGTAGTAGTCGTAATAGTGGTCGTGGTGGTAGTAGTAGTCGTAGTCGTAAGATTGGTAAGGGTAAAAGTAGTAGTAGTAGTAGTAGTCGTAGTAGTAGTAGTAGTAGTAGTAGTAGTAGTTGTTGTAGTAGAAGTAAAAGTAGTAGTAGTAGTAGTAGTAGTAGTAGTAGTAGTAGTAGTAGTAATAGTAGTAGTACTAGTAGTAGTAGTAGTAGCGGTAGTAGTAGTAGTAGTGGTAATCGTACTAGTAGTAGTAGTAGTAGTAGTAGTAGCAGCTGTAGTAGTAGGGGTGGTATTTGTGGATGGTGTAGTAGCATTAATAGTTGTAATGTCAGTACAATTCGTGGTATTAGTAGTAGTACTTGTGGAGGGTATAGTATTACAAGTAGTAGTGATTGTAATAGTAGTAGTAGTAGTAGTAGTAGTAGTAGTAGTAGTAGTAGTAGTAGTAGTAGTAATACTAGTAGTAATACTAGTAGTAG